GTAGACTGGGTCCGTCCCCGGGCAACACTGGAAGGGAAACGTCGAGGGCTGGTATATGTCTCGAGTCGAAAAGAGTGCGAGGGAATTGCCAAGCTCCTAGGCGTTGAATTTTTCCATTCCCAGCTCGATCCAGATCGCAAACGTTCTCTAGCTCTTCAATGGCGCGATGGTTCCGAGTACAATCACCGGATACTTGTGTGTACTTCTGCGTACGGTGAAGGGATTGACTGGCCGGAGGTAGTTTGGGTGTTATCTATAAATCCTTTTGGCATTATCTCTCTTGTGCAGTGGGAGGGGCGGGCAGGTCGGAATGGGCAACCAGCTGAATGTCACACGATTTTCACGCGCCTCCCAAGGGTCAGTGTTAACGATGTGGACTCTAAAGGAGCTGTTGCACTCGTCAGGAGACTTACAGGCGGGGAGTGTGTTCGATTGTCACAGGCCTCTCTGGACCGTGAGTCGCATTCTTGCTCAGCTCTAAGAAGTGCACAGTTGTGCCAAAACTGCAATGAGGTATATCTTTAATCATATCCAGACTATTCATACTCTAATTTATTACTAGGCTCCGATGGACAATCTATCTGGCGTGCCCACTATCAATCTCCAGAACCGTCTACTAAAATGGCCAGACTCCAAGCCAGCCGTTGACCCTACCATCCCCGTTTCAAGTATCGCCAGCGGCGTAATTCCTCTGCGTAAAAAGTTTGCAGCCCGGGATAAGGCAATCGAGAAATTTGAGCGGATACTGGACCAGATCTCAGGCCGGGGTTGTATTTTTTGCTTTGTTGACGGAACTACTCACCAACCCGACACAGTTCACCAGCCTTACAACAGGTTTGAGCTCATACGTAACAAGTTCTCAAACTCAGACCAATCTCCTACCTTTAACATGAAGGCGAATATACACGTTCCATTTTGCTTCCATTGTTGGATCCCGTTTCATCAAGTCGGCAGTAATCATCCGAATCCTGAACCAGGCGAGCCTTGGGACACCGAGCGCTGTCCTTATAATCAGATCCAAGACACCATCATTCCGAGTCTTATAGCATATATTTGGAGCAAAGCAGAGATGATAGAAAAAGTGGAAATCAAGCTGGGGTTGAGCTGGAAGGATCGCAACGGTTATTACAACTCGGAAACCCTGTGGAAATGGCTGACGTCTCCGGTTGGGGCCACCGAGCTGCAGCCACCATACGCCTTTGTTAATGCGTTCTTTGATACCTGTATATCTATAGAATAATGTACACGCACAAGGCGTAATGTAATCTTGCAGTTAAAAATCGATGACCTCATTACCCCATCGAGTATTTTTGCTTTGCCCCAACAAAAAAGGTTCCCGTTCAGTAACCTTTTATTGCTTACTCTCAAACCACCATCACCATGCTTTCTCGAGATGAAATGGCCGATATATCCAACAAGGCAAAACAAATCTTCTGGCAAGTTGGACGGATAGATCCTCTCGACCCCGAAACTTCTCCTGGCACGAAGAGCTCGTACAAGGAAATGCTCAAGACTGTCGCACAAGCCGCCGGGCAAACATTGGCCGCCGCTGTTGGCCTTAGTCAATCTATTACTGAAGACGACGGAGATCCGCCTAATCTGGGGTTAACGGCCCAAGAATGGCGTACGTTCTTTCTTATCTTATGCTGTTTGCGTTGGACATTTGTTCTCAGATAACCTGGGATCGGAACCTGAATCGAGCGAGGAAGATACAGACCCGGAAGAACAACCACGGCATCTTATCGAAGACGAACTTGGGGAAATCTTCAACGGCACAGAAGACGACGGCGGAGACTTCTTTCACTATACCTTGGATCAATTCATCGCGATGGTTTTGAAGGAGGACATGCGGGAAAGGTAGACGAGCAGGAAAGAGAGGCGTATCGTCGAGCTTTAATTGGCTATGGAAGCTACTCTGCTCTTGAAATAGTACGCCGCCTTAATGACTTTCTTTTGCCTTTTTCACTTTGCTCACTAGGAAACCGGGTTCGAGCGATACAATCTCAGGCCTACCTCTGTCTCTCATACCGCCAGGACTTTTCTAAGGATCTCGGAGGTACAAAATCCTACGGATCGTCTTAGACAACGCGAGGTCTTGCTCTTTAATAGCTTCATCCGAAGACTCTCTTACGCTGTATCTTTTGGGCGTTATCCGCAACATTGAAGGAATAAAAGCCTTGGAAGATTGGAACGCTCAGTCCTACGCATTTCAAAAAGAATTTCGACTTTCCTTCGCTCGCAGTCTATATCCCCGGCAGTTCTCGTTAATCGATAACCTCGCTGTCCCTCGGAAGGAAAAGACCCGGCGCTACAACAAGCTTGCTAAACCTGTCCGTACCAAACTCAGTAAGTTTATGGAACAAAGACAACGTTTCCTCACTTTGTACATTCAGGTAAGCGTTCCGCAACTTTGAATACTGGTTGTATTTTATATTCCCCATCCATAGTTTGGCCCGTCGTCCTATGGACCCTACATTCATGAAGACGGGAGGCAAGAACGGTTCTCCACGCATGTCAAAAAGGTTCCTTCAAACTTTCAAGGCGGTCATCAGGCGGGTAGGCAGTTCAGATCGTGGGCAGGAACGATACAAGGAAGGTAGGGAATTTGTATTGAAAGCACTGGAGGTGATGGGTGGTACCAGAGTTGCAGAGTACGTGAGCGATTTTCTTAACGAGAATCTGTACTGGGACTGGGATGGGAGGAGGAAGAATGATGTTGTACTTCCTTTGTATGCGCTTTTTTAGAAGTTTAATTGATACAGTATTGGGAATTAAACCCGAAGTAGCTTGCCTCTTGCTGTGGAGATGGGATTTCCGACGGCTATGTATTTCTTAACTAAGTTCTCTCGTATGTGGGAGACGGCGTAAGCGTATGGATGCGAATAATCTACGTGCTGTTACATGTACTATAGAACCCCATTGATCTACTAATTACAGCCTGATGGTATAGTGGTACATACTCATTGTGTTTGCCTTATCGTTCTAATCCCGGGGATTGTAACAAAGACGTGGGACCACGGTTGTTTTTTTTGTTCAAACACATGCAGATTAACGTTCCACTATTTTATTGTTCAGGAAAAATCTATAAACAGGCTTAGGGTAACATAAAGATTGGTCTTGGCTGTAGGATGTCCGTGCATCCAACACTCAACATTGTCCCCCTGCGTGAGACCTCTGTGCATCAAACCGACTATCTCCCGCCAGCTTTATCTGTACCTACGTTTTATTGTCTTTTTGCCTCACTTTAGGGACAACACAGTCTTAAGTTCAAACTGAAACCGAGTTCATGGTAGGATGCGGCTACGCTCAACCCCCATGGGCATAGCTGTGTCAAATTCTGTTCTTCCTTTTCGGGTGGTAGAGGGGGGTGGGATCTCCCGGGTGCTTTACAAAATGCTGGCAGTGCACTCGTTTCTGGAGATCGACTTCAATATTGGATGAACTAAGTAGAATCGAATTTTTGTTTAATAGACTTAGTTTTAACAGTACTGCAGATCTGTGAAGTGGCCCTGGTAGTCCCGCTATGAGTCCAGGTAAATTTAATTTTTGAGCGTTCAATACCTCGCAGCCTGAATAAAAGTATCGATGCCGAGGACGAACTATCCTTTGTGTCAGTGTGACTCCCAATGTGTCTCCAACTTCGATGTACGTTTACTTTCAAAGTCACACAGGGTATCCACTAAAACGGCCGCGCACTGATATTGAGTGACACTGGTTGTTGTTAACCCCAAACGTTCCCAAATTGTAACATTTTTGAGGCCTGGCAGTTGTCCTCCTACCAGCACCACTCAAGCATCCGCCTTGCCAATCAAATGCCAGTGCAGTAACAATGGTTTCGTGTCAGGTTATGGAACATACTTGGTTTACGCCCTTTTTACTGGAGCGTCTTCTAGTCCTCTGTGGCCCGCACGGTGATTCTCTTAATTCCAGGAGTGTTGGAGTCCTTGAGCTACCCGACATTGCCGGGAAGACCTGACATTGCTTCCTGGCAATGTCGGTCGCCAGAACACACTCGAAAAGGCTCTACGGTTAAACCGTATAGGCGTTGAGTGTGATTTCAAGCCCCTTGGGTGTACCGTTAATTATTGGCGTCCCCTTACAGTCCGGGGCAAATTCAACTAACGGAGTCTGTTTTAATGACCCTAGTGCACATTCTTTCAAGTAAAACCTAAGGCATAACAGTTCCCCATCAGTTGGTACAGCACTCAGGAACTGGGGTATAATGTAGCAAAAATTCTACACTTTGGGGAGATCACAATAGATAACAGGATATCAAGAAAAACCGGGGCATAAGTAAACTGGGGAAAGTGTTTAGATGCTACACAGGGCCATTTTGGCCACTTTGACCTAAGCCTCAATGGTTTCTTGTGGTCCAGCGTGAGCTATACGGGATATTTGTGGGATTTTGTAGTGCAGCGGAACTATAGTATCCGCATAGACGGAATGGGGACCTCCGCCGTCGGTTCTTGGAGGCAAATACCTTTATTTGGAACCCAAAAAGCGACTGTAAAAAGCATTTTCACCTTTGTGACCCTTTAGGACCCGATGCCGTCTAGCATGTACAGTGTTAAAATTTTTTACGAGGCTGAGTACAATTTCATGAATATTGAGCCAGGTATTACATCCGGGGCATAAGTATATACTACCGTTAGAGTCGTACAGGTCGGGGCAACATTGTTTACTGCCAGAATAAGTCGTCATTGATATTGTGGAACGTGGTATAGACCGATACATATGCAAGGTCATTAAAAAATAGGTGCCGAGCAAAATGCCGGCCGCGGCGGAAGGACGGGCCGATCCGGCCCGATTAGGGAATTCCGCTTGTACCTAAGGAGTATGGGTACCCGCCCATATAATTTTTTTTGGCCAGTTTCCTACCCTAACCGCGGCGGTTGTTTACGGGAGTTCAGTATATACCTTTACCATAACATATTCAGACATATGAGGAGGAACAAGAAAAGTCTGATCACACTTTCCCAATTCAACGACCTCTAATACACACCCAAATAGTCGAGTGGCTAAGACGCCTTGAGATCATGGATCATTCATCCCAAAACTATATAAGTATTCCAAGGAGGCGGAGGTTCGATTCCTCCTTTGAGTTTGATGGGAAATGATTGACATTTTTTTTCCTGTTCTGCTCGATAGTGCTGCAGACATGATTGGCAAGTTAGTGAGTCATCAAACTGCACTTGACCTACTTCACCACTTTTAGTACACACTCAAATAGTAAACTGCCCAAGACATGACCTATATTTCAAGTTTGATTCCTTACCAAGCCTCAACAATCAGGAGTGACAATAAAAGGATTCTTACATGACATTGTTTCCCACTCCTGGTATGCGCTTGCATAGTCTTGAAGCACAAAGTTACATGGCAAGGAGGCGGGGATTCGATTTGTCCACTTTCCAAGAGGGACGTGGGATAAGAGATCAAAGCAATCAGAAATTTTATGTCATATATATCCATTTGTTTTAACGTCTGGACTAAGTAGCCCGTGGGATAGGCCTACAGTATTGGGCATGAGCGCTGCTCCTTGTCAACTCAGGCCAGCATTTAAAGTGTTAGAAACACTGTTTAACCTGGTAAACTACTTTTAGTGTACACTGGAATAGTCAAGTGGTCAAGACGCCTTGAAATTATAGATGAGAAAATCAAGGATGCGGGGGTTTGTTGAGGGATCATAAGTTTTTTGCCACTCTTATCCGCATGTATAGTGATTTTTTTTCCCTGGTCCGGCGGGGATCTGCCAGCTGGAAACTTAAAGAGTGCTACGGCGAGCCAGGGCTACAGCTATTGTGATAACACACCAGGCCTTACTTGCCAATTCTTCCTGTGAGCATTGAAGAATGGATCATTTTTTTTTGCCACTTTCCAAAGAACGCGGGAGCCACCTGGTTGGCAGAAGCAAGTACATCCGCTTGTTCTAATGTCTGGGCCGAGTATAGTGTGTGCTTGCCTTTTAGTTTTCGCTTAGCTCGAGCGATGCCTGTTTCTATCTCACGGCAGCATACACACTCAAGTTGAGGCTCGATTTCTCCTTTGAGTATCCACGAAAAGCAGGATAAACTACAGGGAGTTATTCTTCTCGCAATGGAGAGAGACAGTTGCGCACAAAGTACTTGGATAAGCAATCCAAAAAAAAAAGAGAAGCCATTTGAATTACCCAGAGAGGTTCGAACCTGCATACGTATTAGTCAAAGGGTGGGCCACAACCTAAACCGTTCAGCTATATCAGGGCCTGACAGAAAGGCCAAATAAGACAATGATAACGGGGTTGTGTTCAGTTACACCCAATCGCGTAAGACGATCTGATTGCTCTGTATGTTGCGTGAGTTCCCCTCATATGTAGAATCAGACAACACATTATTCTTACACTAGACCTCCGTACGCTGGAACAACAGAGCATATGCGACTAAAATGGTAGAGCATCTCCCGTTGCACTTCGATCTGCCGGCTGGCATATTTTCCAGACGGCTCTCTACCCACAAGACGCCACATATTCGGAACTTGATGATGGTCTGTATGGCACAGTGGCATAGTGTTATTATTCAACGCAATCTCCAAGAGTTCGATCCCTTAAGCCGGACAAACCCTTGGCCCAGAAGTGAAGCGTGAGTGTATGAGGAAAGACTGTGTGGTCTACATTTTACCCATACTGCTTGGCGTGTCAGAGATATAGTGCTGCGGACATGTGAAATGCTACAGCGACAGCATCCATCAGATCAGTCAAAGCCCCACTTGACCTGCTTTACCACTTGTATGTCACGATACACCCTCGTAGGTATAAGCACAGCATCCTCTCACACGTATCATGTATTTGTTATTCTTCTTACAAGTCTCACTTGAGTTCTTACATGTTTTACTCGTATTTAACGTAGCTTTTCATTACAAGCTAAAAGAGAGGCCAACAGCACAGGAATTAAATAACTTAACAAGCATCTACGTACGGGACCACAAAATTTCATCGCGCAGCGTTAACGATAACTTAATATTACTTCGATCGTAGTACAGGGTTAGCAGCGAAAACTTTCTTACAAGCAACTACAGGACGCAACTTGCATTTGTTTGTTTCATTCATAAGTCAGATCGCTAAAACAAGAACTGTGTCAAACTCCAAGCACATCCAATAATATCACTACTAAAGTACAAAATTCGTCCGCAAATCTTTATAACTGACACAGGGAT